AGAAATATTATATAAAGAAATATAAAAATAATATGTGTAAATAAATATTGTTACATTAAATTGAGATACTTTTTTAAAAAAATGAATGTACAATTAATCAATTACACAAGTTGCATTTATAACATGCAGGGCGACCACGCATCGATATTTTAGAATCTGGAAGAAGTATAATATATTATAGGAGTTAATATAGTAGAAGAGTTAATTATATAACTTCAATTTATATAAATTAAAATAAATGTATGTATGGATATACATTGCTTAAGTCTGTGACATGTAGAATTAGTCTGACCGTAAAACATAGACATTCTTCCTGGAAAAAGACGAACTTGTTATTAATTAAAATAATTAACAATTTATTACTTGAAATATTTAATATATTATTTACTTTTTACATAGATAATTAAGAGTAATAAACAAAAATGAGAAGAATAACAACATTTTGCTTTTTGGAAAACGCAATTTTCTATTTCAATTGTAGTTCCAAACATTTGTAAAGTTTCATCTCTGTTTTAAAAATATTTAATACATATAAAAATATGCATTTTTTTATTTATTCAAATATACAAATTTATTTTTTACGTTTTTTAAATAAGGATATTATAGAACAATTAATTATTATATTAATATAATAAATGATGTTAATAAAAACACTTTACTGTTTATCACTGTTTGACATAAATTGCGATTGCAGCGTTCTACAATAAGCGGCCGACTTGTAAAGCGCATCTGTGACATTAGAGCGCCTCATCCCGATCATGAGAGTTACTAAATTTGTGACTGTCTTTACAATCTACTATGATGTGTTACTATTAGTACGATTCTGACATCTTCTGACTGACGAACAGTAAATAAGTATTTACTTATAGTTTTAACCTTCTTTGCTAATGATATTAATATTTTTAAAATGATAAATTCTCCTGAGTCCGAAAAAAATAAACCGATAGATTCTGAGCAAAGTTCTTCAGAAAGTTCTGAAGAAAATAAAGATGACAATGAATCTGAAAAATCGTTGAAAACAAGAGGTTTGTCAATTACAAAGGATAAACAATCAATGTATTTAGAATTAAGATTTAATAAATAAATTAAATACTGTTTATATACATTATTACATTGCAGACAGTGTAAAATCAAGTGATAGTGATGGAGAAGCAAGCCCAGCTCCTAAAGAAAATAATAGTGGTTCTGCTTCAGAAGCAGACAATGAAACAAAAAAGTCAAAACCGCTAATAGATTCTGATTCAGAAAGTGAGGCAGGAGATAAACAAACTTTAGCTCCAACAGCAGATGCCCTTTTTGGAGATGCTAGTGATATTAGTACAGATGATGAAAAGGACAAAGAAGATGAGAAGAAAGAAAAGAGCAAAAGTAGAAGTAGAAGTACAAGCAGAAGCAGAAGCAGAAGCAGAAGTAGAAGTAGAAGTAGAAGTAGAAGTAGAAGCAGAAGCAGAAGCAGAAGTAAAAGTAGGAGCAGAAGTAGAAGCCCAGAGAGATCTGATAGTGGTGGTGAAGGCCCTAGTCAGGCTGTTATTGAAGATGTATATATAAAATAAGTTATTTATAATTAAAAAATTCTTCACAAGCAAAAGATATTTACAATTCATTATTTTTAGGATGTAGATAAAGAAAAAGAAGAAGAACCAGAACCTCCACCAGAGACAAGAATTGATGTAGAAATTCCAAAAATCAGTACAGATTTAGGTCGTGAAATACATTTTGTAAAACTTCCAAATTTCCTTTCAGTAGAAACACGACCATTTGATACAGAAACATATGAAGATGAAATTGATGAAGAAGAAACTTTAGATGAGGAAGGTCGAGCTAGGTTGAAATTAAAAGTAGAAAATACTCTTCGTTGGAAAGAAACTTTTGATGAACAGGGTAAAGTTATCAAAGAAAGTAATGCCAGGTTTGTGAAATGGTCTGATGGCAGCATGTCTCTACACCTTGGCTCTGAGATTTTTGATGTATATAAACAACCACTTCAGGGTGATCATAATCACCTCTATATTCGACAAGGAACTGGTCTTCAAGGACAAGCAGTGTTTAGAACAAAATTGACATTCCGTCCACATTCTACAGAATCCTTCACTCATAGAAAAATGACAATGTCTTTAGCAGATAGATCACAAAAAACTTCTGGTATAAAAGTATTATCTCAAGTAGGAACCAATCCAGATCAAAATAGATATGAAATGATTAAGGTAAATTATGTTTGTTTAATTCCATTTTATCATGAAATTTGTGTATAACACAGCACTTAGGCCTATTATTATACAGAAAGAGGAAGAGAAATTGCGCATGGCAATGCGAGTTCAAAGTAAAACAAAGAAAAGTACTGCAGGTAGAGGAACTACTGGAAGATCTGTTGGTGGATATGGAGCTGATGCTTATCATGATGATGGTTCAGATGACGAGGGTGCTATTTCTCTTGCAGCAATTAAGAATAAATATAAGAAAGGAATGAATATTCCTGTTAAGGGTAAGTTATACTTCACTTACTTAAATAAAATAAATAAATTACTTAAAAGACATTGATTAAAAAGTATTTGTTTATTTTTATATTTTTAGCATCAAATATATATTCATCAGATGAAGAAGGTTCAGACTTTGAAACATTGAGACCAAAAAAAAATATCAAAGGAAAGGTTCTCAAAGATTCAGATGAAGAATCGAATTCTAGAAGCGCCTCAGAAAGTGGAAGAGAAGATGATAACCAGGCTGATAATGCCAGTGATTAAAATATTACTATTTTACTAAAGTATACATATATGCTTTTCAATATAAATGTAATACTTTGTAATATAAATGAATAAATTAATATTTTTTTTGACATAAACAAACATTCAAACATTTTCAAACAACATTATAAACAAACATTTAAACATTTTCAAACGATATTATAAACAAATATTCAAACATTTTCAAACGACATTATAAACAAACATTCAAACATTTTCAAACGACATTTTTTCGTCTCCAACAGATATAAATAAGTATAGCGACTCAGAGAAATCAGTAAGAATATTTACCTTTCGTCTATCAAATATTATGAATTAATTACCGTTCGTCAACCGAATAATTACCATTCGAAGACTTAATTATCATTTAGTCAACAGAAAAATTTTATATCCGTCAGTCTGTCAGACAATTGTCAATATCGAAATCGAATAAGATTTGAATAAATCATTATATATTGTTAATTTACTTTTCGAACAACTTTAATCCTCTCCCATGCCAGTATAGCACATAGCAGGTTAGCGGAAACTGCAACTTATTGCCAGTTGTATTAAACGTCAGTTAACGCTACCTTCTCGTCGGCAACTAAATAGAACGTAACATTTTAATTCTGTCAATTTGAATTTCAATTGGTAAATTTTGAGAAATTCCTAAAATTCTCTAAATTGCAGAGTGAGGGAAAACCATTGATCTGTTTCAGGATCTGTATTTCTATAACTGTAACACATAATTTTATAAAATATTAGATTTATACTAAAAATATTGCAAATGTTTTAATCCCATCTCAGCTTTTCGTTAAATTATATTATAAATTTCAATGTGCAGATTTCAAACGGTGTAAAAGTTTATCTACATAAACAATTGGTAGCACTGATTGGAACATAGTGTAATATAACGACCTGTATTGCAAAAGCATTTTTATCGTATAAATTACTGGTCTCGTGATTGAGAGTTATTATTGTAAGTGTAATTTGTGAGTATAATTCCTGTTTTGATTAATGGTATTATCTAATCATGTGATGTACACTTTTAAATACCTATATATAAATATATAAAAACTAATGAGTTTCATTTAAGAAGTATTATTTTTTACAAATAAATTTTAGAGTAATGGCATGAGTTCTATTAATTATATTTCTGTGTCATTATATATATAATTTTACCCTTAGGTTACTTGACCATGTGATTTTATATATATTAAGTATTTTCACATAATTTTTGCAGCTTACATTCATTTAATTATTAATATGAATATAAGATGTAAAAATTAATTTATATAATGTTTGCTTATTAATATTAAAAAGTTAATATTAACTCTTTGTTGTTGTAAGGAAGTTTCAGATGCAATTACAAAATTTTTATTTCAACAAAAAATGGTTTGAAATATAATTTTAATGAATTTAATATTATAACAATTGAAACTTATTAAAAAAAAAATTGGCCTACTTATATATTGTTAACGAAGTTAATCATTTCATTACTTATAATTGAACTATTGGTTTAAGGCAATTTAACTTATTTTCTACTATGCGTGATGTAGTATAACCTTAAAACTTCTCTATTTTCCAGGAGGAATTTAAAATATTTTCTACAAGTTCTTTTATGTTTATTCAATTTAAGGATTTGTACAGGAATTGTGATTTTCTTCATTTTACAGTCATTTTATATTAATATACAGGTATTAAAATATCTTTTTCTAATATTTAGTATTAATTAAGTTTGTTGTGTATTAAAAGAGATAAAAGTATATTCTATGATAAATACTAAGTTACAGAATATCTCATTTTAATTTAATATTTTATTTATGTAGCTTTCTTGAATAAATTTTATATTAAATTATGTGTAATATTCAATTAATAACTATTAATAAATAAATAATATGCAATAAAAATGATTTTAGGTTTTTATACAATGGTTGCCCACACTGTGCTTCTTGACTTTACAGTACCATCAAATGTAATAGTAGATGTGGAGAAACGATCCAATCTAAAAATAGCAATTGCTAATGTCCTTCAAGAACACTTTGATAGTCTGAAGCCATTAACTGAATCAAGCATTGATGGAAGCTTTTTAGTTTTATATACAGGTCCCAAAGGTAGTCTAATTACAGTTCGAGGATATACTGAAGGCTTAATCACTGTTAACATTGAATATTATAAGAGAGATGAAGAAGAAGCACTTTTGGATTTTGAGGTACAGTCCTTTATATTAATTACAGTAATTGTTTTGCAATACATAGTTGCAAATTTCATAATATTTAATTGCCTCTCATGAATATCAAGTACAAAATCAGCTTTTGTATCTCTCAAACATGGGGTCATTACAAGGTACATCTTGTTACATATGATATATTATAATAATGACTGTGCTAAAGATGTCCTCAAAAAGATTTGTTCAATATGAAAAACGTGAAGATTTTTGCATTCGTTAAACCGTGATTTTTCGTTTGCCGATTTTTGCCGCTGAACGCTAAAATTGCAAGATAAACGTATTGTAAAATCATCTCGTTTGACGAATAGTATTATAGAAATAAGTAAAAATTTTACTATATGCGGAAGAAACACGCATAACAAAGAAGACCTTGTAGCAGTGGCGATACCTGGAAGCGGACGTTGCGATGGCTCTGAACAGCCAACGCAGTAAGCGCCTGCCACCAGTAAGGCGAGGAACCATATATGACCTCTATCTGACACTATCAGGTAGAAACCACTCCCCAATTAGTTCCTATTAGTTTATCTATAGCACTTTAAAAATGTGCGAATCGTTTCCGTTGCACTCTAAAGACAACAGCTTCGGTCGATTACTTTTTTTCCGGTCAACGTGTATTTTCCTCCCGCCCCACCCCCTCGGTATTACTTTTTAGTTTTTCCGCAAAGGGAAAATGACTTGATTCATACGTAAAAAAAGAGAGTTGTTACGATTGGTGTAACAAGATAGTTTCTGTTTTTTTTTATTCGTCGGTTCGCTTGTCGCGGCCACCTTTAGTTGGCCA